TGGAAATCTTGGAATCCACCCCACATTGGTGGAACACCAGGGTTTGGTCACAAGTGAGACCTTTTGCAACCCTGATAGTTCCACCAGTGGTGTCGGTAGTTTTTTTTTTTTATTTTTGTTATTTTATTATTTTATTATTTTTTACCATTTTATTTATTTTACAAGGTTATTTTTTTTTATTATTTATTTACAGTTTTTTTAGTAGCCCTGTCTGGGGGGCTTTAGTGAGATATCAAGGTTCTAAACAGACCTCTGATGTTGCACCTTTGAGACAGAGAAAGGAGATTGAGGACACAGCCCACAATCTCCATACCTGCAGCCTCAGCTGCACAGAAAGAATGGCTCCATACAGAGCTTCCCATTCATTCACAAACTGAAGCCTAGTAAACACAGGTTACTAGGCTTCAATTGTGAACAAACAGAGTCAATGATCGGTATGGATCACTAACTCTGCCCATTCATAAAAAGGAAGGGGCCAATAAATGACATATTTACCAACCCCTTCCCACACTCTCCATCCTGAAAGCATCCATGCAGCAGTCGGCAGAAGAAGAACCCGGCAGAGCTGCAGGGGGGCAAGAGGGGGCCAAGAGAGCAAACAGCGCTGAAGGAAAATGAAGGTCATTGGTTCTTCTATATTCTGCCATCCCTGAAGCTGCAACTCCTATCCAGGTGTACAGGGGAGCCACCCCTGGAGCACGGGGTTGGGTCACAATTGCAACCCCTCTAAGCAAGTCCCTAATCTGTCTATTTATTGGGGAATTTTCTCCTCATTTCTTGTCTATGTAAGAAGTGACAGGAACACTCTCCAATTGAACAAATATTTTTTTGAATGTGGGAAAGGGTTAGAACTATTGACATTTCTATTCATGTCTGGGCTTTTTGTCTAGTTGAAGACAAACCCTCCCCATGTCTTGTCCTAATGTCAAAGGGACAGGAAGTGCAGAGAAAAGTTTTCAACAGGGTCAAAGACAAATAAAAACTAGACAGAAATGTTTTTCTTTCTTTGGCTGAAGTTAGCTTTTAAATGCTACAATGCTTCCTACAAACCAGGTAAACACTAAAATATTGATATATATATAATGTGTATATATATATATATATATATATATATATATATATATATATATATATATATACAGTCAGGTCCATAAATATTGGGACATCGACACAATTCTAACATTTTTGGCTCTATACACCACCACGATAGATTTGAAATGAAACAAACAAGATGTGCTTTAACTGCAGAGTGTCAGCTTTAATTTGAGGGTATTTACATCCAAATCAGGTGAACGGTGTAGGAATTACAACAGTTTGCATATGTGCCTCTCACTTATTAAGGAACCAAAAGTAATGGGACAGAATAATAATCATAAATCAAACTTTCACTTTTTAATACTTGGTTGCAAATCCTTTGCAGTCAATTACAGCCTGAAGTCTGGAACGCATAGACATCACCAGACGCTGGGTTTCATCCCTGGTGATGCTCTGCCAGGCCTCTACTGCAACTGTCTTCAGTTCCTGCTTGTTCTTGGGGCATTTTCCCTTCAGTTTTGTCTTCAGCAAGTGAAATGCATGCTCAATAGGATTCAGGTCAGGTGATTGACTTGGCCATTGCATAACATTCCACTTCTTTACCTTAAAAAACTCTTTGGTTGCTTTTGCAGTGTGCTTTGGGTCATTGTCCATCTGCACTGTGAAGCGGCATCCAATGAGTTCTGAAGCATTTGGCTGAATATGAGCAGATAATATTGCCCGTAACACTTCAGAATTCATCCTGCTGCTTTTGTCAGCAGTCACATCATCAATAAATACAAGAGAACCAGTTCCATTGGCAGCCATACATGCCCACGCCATGACACTACCACCACCATGCTTCACTGATGAGGTGGTATGCTTAGGATCATGAGCAGTTCCTTTCCTTCTCCATACTCTTCTCTTCCCATCACTCTGGTACAAGTTGATCTTGGTCTCATCTGTCCATAGGATGTTGTTCCAGAACTGTGAAGGTTTTTTTTAGATGTCGTTTGGCAAACTCTAATCTGTCCTTCCTGTTTTTGAGGCTCACCAATGGTTTACATCTTGTGGTGAACCCTCTGTATTCACTCTGGTGAAGTCTTCTCTTGATTGGTGACTTTGACACACATACACCTACCTCCTGGAGAGTGTTCTTGATCTGGGCAACTGTTGTGAAGGGTGTTTTCTTCACCAGGGAAAGAATTCTTCGGTCATCCACCACAGTTGTTTTCCATGGTCTTCCGGGTGTTGCTGAGCTCACCGGTGCATTCCTTCTTTTAAAGAATGTTCCAAACAATTGTTTTGGCCACGCCTAATGTTTTTGCTATCTCTCTGATGGGTTTGTTTTGTTTTTTCAGCCTAATGATGGCTTGCTTCACTGATAGTGACAGCTCTTTGGATCTCATCTTGAGAGTTGACAGCAACAGATTCCAAATGCAAATAGCACACTTGAAATGAACTCTGGACCTTTTATCTGCTCATTGTAATTGGGATAATGAGGAAATAACACACACCTGGCCATGGAACAGCTGAGAAGCCAATTGTCCCATTACTTTTGGTCCCTTAATAAGTGGGAGGCACATATGCAAACTGTTGTAATTCCTACACCGTTCACCTGATTTGGATGTAAATACCCTCAAATTAAAGCTGACAGTCTGCAGTTAAAGCACATCTTGTTCGTTTCATTTCAAATCCATTGTGGTGGTGTATAGAGCCAAAAATGTTAGAATTGTGTCGATGTCCCAATATTTATGGACCTGACTGTATATATATGGGGTGATCAAAGGGTTAACTGTGTGTGGTGTGTGTTTATTATGTAAGCACACTGCTTTGTATGGCTCTGCTATGCAGAGCTGACATTGGAGAGATCTGTCTTGTTTACACACAGGTCTCTCCCCCGTCAGTGTTCCTCGGCGATTGCCAGGTGCTGGTGGGGAATCTACGGGCGGGACATGGTGATCGACAGCTGAAGCCGACAATGGCAGCACACCCCCTACCCGAAAATACCAAAACGTATTTATATGTGATTTTGCGCACTCCTGCCACCCTGTAGCAGTAGTTCGGGAAGCAGTTAACTAAAGAGGAGATATCCATTTGGTGAGTTACATAATAATTATCATATCACCGGGTGGAATGTGGACACTTTGTGGTGAAGGAGATAGCGCACTAAGCACCATCGTGGTTTAGAGACTTTGATATTTGAGGTCATGTTTAGTGACCCATGCACTTTATTATATGTATTTGATGTTCATTCACTATTTATTTGATGTTTTTTTTCACGCCCAGAGATTTTATAGATTGCATTACACATGACATATGTTTTCTAAGGATATTTAGCACACAGCATGTTAGCATTTCCTTTTTGAGATGTGGCTTTAGCACCCCTTATAGCACTTGACTAGGGGAGTTCAGATACACCTGTTGCCTATTCCCACGCTAAACCGCACCCCATTTCCACCCCCTTGTTTCCTTAAATAACAACACCAACAGCTAAAATGGATTAAATGGCCGAATCGGCCCTTTATTAAACAAAACCAGTAAATAACAAACAAAACAAACATTCACCATTATAAACCATCCAGCTCCAAGAACAGTTGCAGATCCTTGGCGACGACCTCCTCACACCATTTTGGAATCCGTGGTGGAATCCATTAGGCTAGGTTTATCCCCCGCCTCAGGGACTATCCTAACTGACCACAGACTCCTACCAACCTTACAGTCTAAACTGAACCTGACCATTCGGAGGACTCCATACCTGAGATGGGTCCCACCATTTACCAACATACCATGTTTTTAGACCCCCGTCAAGGACCCCAACTGCACCTCACCTCCTACAAACCAAACCAACCCAATTACCAGGGCAAGGGGAGGGACGTTCCATCGATGATTTCCAGCTTGCAAGTTATGCCCTTCACCCCACCAACTGTTCTCTCGTCAGCTCCTCCCATCACCCCATCCACTCCACCAATCCGGTAAGTGTGATTTCATATGTCAGCCGCACCGTAACCCTATCCTGTCAGGTTTTTCTTCCACCCTGTCTTGTATGCCCTGCTCTTATTCTCTTCTTTCAAAGCTCCAGGCATGTCTTTGAAAAAAAAAAAAAAAAACCTTCTGCCTAGCATAACCACTTTAATAACAGGATCACCAGGTGAAAATAATGGAAAAAAGCCTAAAAAAGAAAATGAATGCATCTGCCACATCGAAAAATTGATAGGCTGCAAATGAATACATTTAGCTGTAGTTTTATTACAACTGCATTGTTTTCAAAGTCTAGGAACCAACTGAAAAAAAAGCAACCCAGCAAAATAAACTCAACTAAAAAAGAAAAGTAACAGTAAAACGATTTTCATTCATTGGATGAGACAGAGCATACTTTGAAGGAAATATGTGTCATAATATATGACCTTAATATTTTTAACAGCATTTTGGTATAAAACCATAGACTCGTAGTTTTCCAGGGCCATCCTTAACCTGAATCTACGAAAGTTTCAGCCTGTGAGTCATGTTATAATTATATGACTGCAGAGCACGTGACATACTAAAATGCAGATCGTGTTCCCCTCCCTGAAACTGGAAGCCGTGCGGTGTTGTCACATTTAGAGAATCCAATTAGTGAAATCTAAATAGGAATAAGAAACCAACATACATCTCTCATCTAAAACACATTTGTTGGATAATAAGTAATAAAATGTATATATGTATATAAAAAGTAATACAAATTAAAAAAGAATAGCTAATGAGGAAATCATGGTAATAAAATGTACGTTTTTATTAGTAAAATTCTTTAGTGCTTTAAAGGAGCACACACTGGGAGTCTTATAATTAAAACAGGTTCAATTTAAAGTGGTTTTAAACCCTTCCATATACCAAGCGAAGGGACTGGCCTTGGGTGACACAGAGATGAAACAAATCCTTCTGCATAAGTTGTACCTGTTTATCTGTAGCCATCTGTCCTGCACATCCATTCAAAGTGCAGAATTTACACATAATCAGTGCCGGGAGAAGGTCATCTAGCACAGAGGGTGAAGATACCAAATAGCACCCCTCCCCCCTTCAAAACATAGGAGCATTATGTGCAGGGGCGGACTGACCATTTGGAAACTCGGGCACTGCCCAAGGCCCGGGGTCAGTAGGAGGCCCCATGAGATGCCCCTGGTAGCTTTTTCATGGGCTTTTTTGAGTTTGGGCAAGGACACGGGGGCCCCATGATCCCCTATTGCCCAGGGGCCCCATGAGTTGTCATTCCACCCCTGATTATGTGTCAGCAAAATGGTGTTAACAGCCTCCTGCTCCAAGCGGGGGTATGCTGACTGTATTCCAGGTGTTTGAAGTGCTATATCCAGACAGAAACACTGTAGCAGTCCACTGGCATTCACCCAGTGATTGCCGAGTATCTCAGACGGGGGAGAGACCTGTGTATAAACAATACAGATCTCTCCCCTGTCAGCTCCTGCACACTGCTTTGTATGGCTCTGCATAGCAGAGCCATACAAAGCAATGCGCTTACAGTGTAAAGCACAGCACACAGTGAAACAGCACACAGTTAACCCTTTGATTGCCCCAGATGTTAACCCCTTCCTGCCCAGTGCCATTAGTACAGTGTCAGTGCATTTTATTAGCACTGATCACTGTATTGGTGCCACTGGGGATGTCAGTTCCCCCCCAGTGTCAAACTGCCTGCCACAGTCTTGCAGTCCTGCTCTAAGTCACTGATTACCTCCATTACTAGTAAAAAAAAAATTCCAACAAATATTCCCCCATTTGTAAATGCTATAACTTTCACATAAACCAATTAATTTACATATATTGGGATTTTTTTTTTAACAAAGACATGTAGCAGAATACATTTTGGCCTAAATTTATGATGAAATATGTTTAAATATACATATGTTTTAACACTCATGTCACTTTATTTCATACCATCAGCACTTTATATGGTTTAATTTGAATAAGTCATTGTTCGAACTTCTGCAATTAAGCACCTTTGTACATATATTTATTTATGATCAGCGCTGCACCCAAGTTTATGTATTTATCTATAAGAGGTTCATCGAACACATCCAAAATCCACAAATTGCGAACTTTATTGTGAACCCAATTGGAGTCAATGGGAGTAGATCCTTGAACATCAATTCTCTCCATTTTCAAGGTTAATAGGCAGGGGCATAATGATCATAGGGAGAGAAAAGGGAATGAGGAGCTGGGTAATGCCAACAAGGACATGCTTCAATGTGAACATAACTAACTAAATAAATATATATATATACATATATACACACTATATTACCCAAAATATTTGGACACCTGCTTTTACACGCACATGAACTTTAATGGTATCCGAGTCTTAGTCCGTAGGGTTCAATAATGAGTTGGCCCCACCCTTGGCAGCTATAACAGCTTCAACTCTTCTGGGAAGGCCGTCCACAAGGTTTAGGAGTGTCTATGGGAAGGTTTGACCATTCTTCCAGAAGCACATTTGTGATGTCAGGCATTGGTTTCGGATGAGAAGGCCTGGCTCACAGTCTCCACTTTAATTTATCCCATAGGTGTTCTATGGGGTTGAGGTCAGGCCAGTCAAGTTCCTCCACCCCAAACTCTTCATCCATGTCTCTATGGACCTTACTTTGTGCATTGGTGTGCAGTACAGGAAGGGGCCATCCCCAAACTCTTCCCACAAAGTTGGGAGCATGAAATTGTACAAAATGTCTTCCTATGCTGACACCTTAAGAGGTCCCTTCTTTGAAACTAGGGGGCCAAGCCAAACCCCGGAAAAACAACTCCACACCATAATCCCCTCCACCAAACTTTACACTTGGCACAATGCAGTCAGGCAAGTATCGTTCTCCTGGCAACCACCAAACCCAGACATGTCCATCAGCTTGCCAGACAGAGAAGCGTGATTTGTCACTCCAGAGAACACGTCTCCACTACTCTAGAGTCCAGTGGCGGCGTGCTTTACACCACTTCATTCGATGCTTTGCATTGCACTTGGTGATGTAAGGCTTGGATGCAGCTGCTCGGCCATGGAAACCCATTCTATGAAGCTCTCTACACACTGTTGTTGTGCTAATCTGAAAGCCACATGAAGTTTGGAGGTCTTTAACTATTGACTCTGCAGACAGTTGCTGACTTCTGCGCACTGTGCACTTCAGCATGCACTGACCCCGCTCTGTCATGTTACGTGGCCTACCACTTGGTGGCTGAGTTGCTGCCATTTCCAGTTGCTTCCATTTTGTTATAATACCACTAACAGTTGACCGTGGAATATTTAGTAGCAAAGAAATTTCACAGATGGACTTATTGCTCAGGGGGCAACCTATCACGGGACCATGCTTGGAGTCACTGAGCTCCTGAGAGCGACCCATTCTTTCACAAATGTTTGTAGAAGCAGTCTGCATGCCTAGGGGCTTATTTTTATACACCTGTGGCCATACAGATGATTGGAACACCGGGAATCCAATGATTTGGAGGGGTGTCCCAAAAACGTTTGGCAACATAGTGTAAGTACACAGTATAGAGAAACTCTGTCATTTTACGTGGCCTACCACTTTGTGGCTGAGTGGGGTCAGCACATACACGACCTCATATTCCACGGTCAACTCAGCCACGAAGTATTAAGCCATGTAAAATGACTGGGGTCAGCACATGCTGAAGCGCACAGTGATGATTTTATACACCTGTGGCCATGGAGGGGATAGGAACACCTGAATCACATGATTTTGGCAATAAAGTATATATACTGTTTGGCAGAAAGCAGCTGCACTAATTCAACTGATAATTGCGCAGTCATACAATGCTGTTTTCAAACAAAATTTATGACCTTTTTATCACACAAATAGAGCTTTCTTTTGGTGGTATTTGATCACCTGTGCGCTTTTTATTTTTCACGCTATAAACAAAAAAAGAGCAAAAATTTTGAAGAAAAGCGATATTTTTTACTTTCAGCTATAAAAAATATATAGTAAACTCAAAGTTAGTTATACATTTAGGCCAAAATGTATTCTGCTACATGTTTTTGGTAAAAAAAAATCCCAATAAGTGTATATTGATTGCTTTGTGTGTGAAAGTTTATAGCGTCTACAAACTATGGTATAGATACTGCAATTTACGCCATTTTTCTGCTATACAGCGCTGCGCTAGTTTAACGGAGTATTGCACGGTCATGTAATACGGTACATAAATGAAATTTACATCTTTTTTTTCCCCACAAATTGAGCTTTCTTTCGGTGGTATTTGATCGCCTGTGCGTTTTTTATTTTTTGTGCTATAAAAAAAAAGTCTGACAATTTTGAGGAAAAAAACCAATATTTTGGACTTTATGCTATAAAATATGTCCAGTAAAAAAAATTAAAAATCAAATTTAGTCATAAATGTCTACCAAAATGCATTCTGTGACATGTCTTTGCTACAAAAAACCCCAATACGTGTAAATTAATTGGTTTACGTGAAAGTTATAGCATTTACAAATGGCGGGAAAGATACTGGGATTTTTAATTTTTATTTTATACTAATAATGGCGGTGATCAGCGACTTATGGCGGCGATCAGTGACTTATGCCGGGACAGCGGGACTGCGGCGGACATTCTGACACTGGGGGGGAACTGACTTGGTGTCACTGACATCCCCAGTGACACCAATACAGTGATCAGTGCAAAAAAAAAAAAAAACACTAACACTGTACTAATGGCACTGGGGAGGAAGGGGTTAACTTTCTTATTCAGTGACAGGGTTAACTGTGTGAGGGGGAGTGTTTTACTAGGGGGCGGGGGTGTGTACTGCAGGGAACACCGCTGATCGGGACAGATAAACTCTTCTGTCCCAATCAGCGTGTCAGTAGCTGTCAGGGAACTGACAGAAAGCACAGCTACTGCAGCTGTGCTCTCTGTCACTGATTGCTGCTAATCGCCGGGACATAGCCGGTAACGACCGGCTGTGACCCGGTGACTGACATCCGCGGCCGTGATCGGCGGGACAGGTAGGGCGGCGGCGTGCCTTGCGCGCGCCCTTTACCTGTTTTAAAAACACGTGTTTTAAAACGTGGTTTTGCCCAGCCGTGCCGCCCTGCCGCCGTATTTTTTACAGTGGCTGGGCGGCATGTGGTTAATAAGGGTCCACGTGAAACTTGTGAAACTTTAAAAATGCAGCATTTCATTAAATAACATACTTAGGGGATGCCTTAAACCTTCATATGAATGGTGCTGATCCAAGTACACTGTCCCTGTCCTCCAAACCTGTTGACCCCTATAATCTGCCCTATAAGATGCTGACCCCTGTACACTGCCCTACATACTACTGACCTCTGTTCACTGCCCAACATACTACTGACCTCTGTACACTACCCTATCTACTACTGACCTCTGTACACTGCCCTATCTACTATTGACCTCTGTAATCTGTCCTACATACTACAGACCTCTGTGCACTACCATACATCCCACTGACCTCTGTACACTGCCCTACATACTATTGACTTCTGTAAATTGCCCTACCTACTACTGACCTCTGTACACTACCCTATCTACTACTGACCTCAGTACACTGCCCTACATACTACTGGACACTTTACATTGCCCTACATTTTACTGTACTGCGTACACTCCCTTACCTGCTACTGACTTCTGTGCACTGCCCTTCATACTGCTGACCCCTGTACACTGCCCTACATCCTACTGACCTCTGTACACTGCCCTATCTACTACTGACCTCTGTACTCTGTCCTACGTCCCACTGAGCTCTGTACACTGCCCTTCATACTGCTGACCCCCATATACTGTCCTAACTACTACTGACCTCTGTACACTACCATACATACCAATGACCTCTGTACGCTGCCCTGCATACTACTGGCCACTGTACCCTGCCATACATACTAAATGACCCCTGTACATTGCCCTAACATCTTACTGTACTCTCTATACTTCCTTACCTACTACTGACCTCTGTACACTGCCCTTCATACTGCTGACCCCTGTACACTGTCCTATATCCTACTGGTCTCTGTACACTGCCCTCCATCCTAATGACCTCTGTACACTTTCCTACAAACTAATGACCTCTGTACACTGCTCTACATTCTACTGACCTCTGTACACTGCCCTACATTATACTGACCTTTGTATACTTCCTTACCTACTACTGACCTCTGTATGCTGCCCTATATACTACTGACCTCTGTACACTGCCCTACATCCTACTGACCACTGTACACTGCCCTACCTACTATTGACCTCTGTACTCTGCCCTTCATACTGCTGACCCCTGTACACT